CTATTTAAATAAAATGGACAAAACTACATGAAAAATACATTTATTTCAGACGTTCAATTAAGGCATGCGTAATGTATTGTGGAGGAACATGTGTTTTTAAAAGATGATCATGCTGATGAAGGCTTAACCGCATGTTTGATAGGTAGATTGTTTTCATTAACCGCTTCTTCATTACTGTCCAAATCCCAAGTGAGCTGTAAATCTATATCGGATGAACTGGTCGAGCTGCTCCCGTCGATTACTACAAAAACATCTTCAATACATTAAGTTTACTTTAAAATACTATTCAATCAAAATTTTCAGCCTTAATTAAAATCAGTCCAGTCTAATTTTATATAGGGTCTCCACTACTATTATCCAATATTTTTATAATTTTAAATTCAAAATCTAATTTATAAAAGCAGTTTAAGATTATGTAAAAATAGAATATTACATAAAAAGGGAACTTTGGATGGTACAAATAAACTTTTTTGGGAGCATAAATTATTTGAATGGCTAATTTCAACTTATTTGAAAAGTGAACTAAACATTTATAGTTCACCAATCCGTTTATAATTAATAATTACTGTAAAAATAATGATTTAATTATTAATGTATGCTTTTTGGATAAAAGATAGTGAGGAACAATAAGATTTTCATGACTGATTCTGCTACACTTTTACTTAATCAACATACAGATATATTAACAAGTCAAAATTTTCGAAAAGAAAACAAATTCAACCCTCCCTTTGTCAGAAAGAATTAACTCAGCTACCGCATTCTTCAATGAATTACCTTTAGAAAAACCAAAAAATTATGATCCTCCATGGATAAACAAACCACCAAAAACTAATATAAATACCAAAAAAACGAAACCTCATCTTCTGTATACAAAACTGAATTCTCTTGTCTTCTTAAAATTCCGGAACCATTTTTAATCTATACTGATGGATCTAAACCCGAAGAATCCACATCATCTTCATTTATTAGCCGCGAAAAAATAAAATTACATAAATTATGCAGCTGAACTTCAAGCAATAGCCCCCCATTTCTATATGTCGAAAACTCTTAAAACAATAGTAATAATAACGAATTTGAGAAATTCGATATATTTTATCTGGGCGCCGGGCCATATAAGGATCACTGGAAATGAGCTCGTGGACGCGGCAGCCAAGCAAGCATTCATCCTCCAAGAACGGGGCTCTGTCATTTTAACACCACCTGACATAAGCCTTTCTCTAGAAAAGAAAATAGCTATTGGTTGGCAATCTATGTGGAACTAGAGCCCACCTAGCAAATTGAAGGAAACAAAAAAAAATCAGTAAAACCATGGTCCACCTCGAGTTGCCCTATTCGTAGAGAGGAAGTAGACTAAGGATAGGACATACAAATCTAACACGTTCTAATCTGATAAGTAAACAGCCTACATCAAAATGCCAACACTGCTACAGAACTTTCATTGTCATCCACGTTCTTTAAGAGTGTCCTTATTACATATCAATTTAAACCAAATTAGGACTTACACCAAAAACTATCAGTTATTTTAAATAATGATGAAGTTAAAATAAGGTTCGTGATAATTTTTCTTAAAGTTAATGATTTGATGAACTAAATTTAATTCCCCCTCAAAAATAATTTAGTATTGAGGTAGCTGAAACAAAGATTAGAGAGACGTTAATGACTTCAGGGTTTTATACCTCTAAGCCCTAAATAACAAAAACAACAACTTTTACTTAATCAAAATTTATTCAATACTGACTGGTAAGTACCAACTGTAGTATATTTCACTTAAAATAATTAATCACAATATCTTAAAGAGCTCTGTTATTTATTTTCACAAAATAAATCATGAAATTTAAATGAATTTTTTTACATTCCTACCACTGTTAATTGTAAGTGAGGAAAGAATTGGGGCCAATTTCTGATGTTTAGTTTAAACAAATCTTTGTGTTTCTAAAAAATGAATTTTTTGACTATAATTCTGTTTATAAGCCAATAGAAAGATTATCATTTAAAGTGGTACACGGTTTTTTTTTTTTTTTTTTCATAGGGTTCTGCCTCCTTCCCCTTTCACCCCTGATACCATTTCGCCAAACTAGCCACAGGCACCCTGAGAAATACTAATAGAAATAGAATGTTTATCCAAAAAGTTAATAAGGAAAGGATACCTTTAAAGCCAGTATTTCAAACATGCAGAAAGGAGGATGGTTCACTTCTCACTAATAAGAAAGAAGAACTTGAAAGATGGGCAAAACATTTTAATGATCTGCTGAATGAGGGAGCGGCTGAATCAAAGCATGATTGCGAGAGTCACAATAAAATCATACTTGATGATAGAGAAATAGAATCCCCTGAGCTTGACGAGATCCAAGACGTGATATGCCAGATGAAAAGTCATAAGACACCAGGAGGTAACAGACCACCAACTTATTAACAACCTTAGTTATTTAAATATGGTGGCGGAGAGCTACAGAAACTCATTTATGATTTGATATTCTCCATCTAGACACAAGAAAGGAGAACAATTGGAATGCGCCTACCACCGAGAGATTTTGTTAATGCAGTGCGCAAGATAAGATAAGTTATAAGATACTCTCCAACATCTTCTACAACAGACTAGCCCCATTCACTGATTGTCAAATTGGAAAATATCAAGCTGGTTTTCGAAAGGGTAGATCAACTATTGATCAAATATTCACACTTTGGAACGATTCTAGAAAGAAGTCATGACTATAAAATTCCCACTCATCATATGTTTATTGACTTCAAGAGCGCTTACGATGCCATGAGGAGGCACAAGTTGTATGAAGCAATGAGAGAACTTAACATCCCCTATAAACTAATTCGTCTGGTAAAAATGACAATGCAGGATGTGCAGTGCAGAGTACGCATTCATTTGGAATGCTCCTTGGAGTTTTCCACCAATAAAGGACTGAGACAAGGTGATGCTTTGGCATTAGAGACCGGATTTCCATGTTATTGCACTTTTTATTCGCTTGCATGTAAAAACTCCAGACCCGAATATCTATCCGTTTCAGGACCTGTAGAATACCATATTCAAACTTTATATTGCACGTTTTGCCGTTTTTAGCTTAAATAGAACGATTTTGATTTTTAGTTGCATTACATTTTTGTACTTTTGTGCTAAAATAGACGATTTATAAATACAAATGTATAAGTGAGTGTGTTAATATTTATTTTACTATATTGTTCAAATTAAATTCATTATGCAAAATAGAAAAATATGAGGAAGGCAAATAATAATAAACTTATAATGTATAAAACATCCTCTAAGAAAATTTCTTATAGTGAATTGGAAGATGGTTTGGCTATTAAGAAAATTATTTAGATATAAAAGAACAACACGGAAGATCAATTAAATAATGAAAGATTAATTAGTAATTTTTGTGGCGTTACAAAAAAAACAAAAAAAAACTGCACTATATAATTGATGTATATAATGGTCTATATGTATAAGATAAATGTATTTCTGTAAGAGAAAAATGAAAAAAATATATTATTTTTTGCTAGAAGTATTTTGAAAAAAAAATCCTGGTATTGAAATGTAACACAAGCGTTAAAGTAAATGAGCAAGCATTAGGTATTTATAAGTAAGCCATCTACATGTTTTGCTTCATTCAGCCCTAACAAAATACAATAATTATAAACGTACCTACACCTTATTCACAGCTGTATCTGAACAAACTATAAAATTGAAACAAAAAATAAATGGCTTAGTGAACCAGAAAGTTCGATGCAGAGAACGCTAAACCCGGTTGTCCACTGGAACTGTGAATGCCTCAATAGCAATATGATACAATTTATGACTGTATTTGGCTTAATGATCCATAAAATAGGAAAAGTGTAGGAGTGTTTTCACTACACCCTTCCTAATCGATGATTTTTCATGAAGAAGTCTAGGATGGTATGGATGCTCTGAGCTGGATAGGGATTGCGCTAGAGGATTATGATTATGAAGAAGGTTCTGGTGAAAGTTTGAGAATCTGGATGGGATGATGTCAAGGACATATGGGATGTTAAAGTCATGGTATAGGGTCTTGTTCGTGACATAATATAGAGCATCGACTATTGTTCGAAGGACTTAGGACTGGAAGAATTGGATACGTTTGATATTTGACGACTTAGTTGTCCCCCACAGTTCAAGTCTGTAGGTCCAGATACGTTTCAGTATGGTCTTGTAGATTAATAGTATGTTTTCTGTCGAGAGACGAGATGTTCTGTTTAGTAGTCTATATAGCTGACCAAATTGTCGGTTAAGCTCTTGTCTTTTGTTTCAAGTTAGTCTTTTGTCTAGAAGGAAGCCAAGGTATCAGACTGTGTCTGAGTAGGGAAGAGGAATTGAATTAAAAAGAATTGGCGGGCAGGATCTGCATCAAAGAGTGAAAGTGACATCTTTGCATTTTGATTAATTAATTTTGATACGCCTGTCGTTGCCCCACTGTTCAATCAAGGAGAGATGTCTTTGCAGATTTCGGGATGCTATTACAGGATCTGAATGGGAGAATAGGATAGCAGTATCATCAGCAAATGTTGTTAGGAAGGTATCAGGATTTGAAGGGATGTCGACAATGAAGAGGATATAGATAACTGGGCCCAAGACTGCCTTGTGGAACGCCAGCCTCAATTGGATAATGTTTGGAGAGTTCAGTGCCGCAGCAGACTTGAAAGGAGCGATTTAAAAGGTAGGATTTGAGGACTAGATACAAGGGTTGGGGTAAATGGGTTTTGAGCCTGAAAAGCAAACCACCACACCCAGTTGAATAATGCTTATTGGAATTACAATTAATAAGATTCATTATTACAACCACATTATGAGATACCATGATGTAATACTTTAAAATATTGATTTGAATAGTGAAGTTTGAGACATTAACCTGCAATTAATATTTAATCACAGATAGGTGAAATCCTTTCGAACAAATGTTCAGTTTTAATTATATGTTTTAGAATAAAAGGTAAAATAAATTTAGGCAGTAAATGAATAATGGGTAAATAAATACCTGATGCTGTTTCTTCATCGACATCATTTTCGTCATTGCTATTGCCATCTTCTATGTGATGAAGACAGTTAACACTGTTAACATTTTGAGTTTCTTCATCTCCATCACTATCCTAAAAATTGAAATATAATCATTATCCACCATAAAATTATGTAAAGAAAAACAAATGAATATATTTATAATCTCTCGATTAGTAGTAGAAGAAGAAAATAAAAAAGAAAAGGAAATTTAAGTCTGCGAAATTTAGTACCCTAAGAATAATGATTAGAGACCGAATTTTCGAGCAGTAAAAACCAAAAAATGTAAAATTGTAAACATAACATCCAAAAATCATAGTTTTTGTTCAATTTATTATATTAATTCGTTTTCTCTTATATTGGAAGTGATAACTTCTAAATTGAAATTAGGTATATCGTGTAGTAAAGTGAGAAAAATCTAATCACAATTTTAAACATATAACGATTAACTTAATTCCATATGAAAGTATATTTTTAAGTTAATTGTGGGTAGATGGTTGGGGTGATCAGTCAGAAATAAAAAGGCAAAAATAAATAATAATATTTATTTTAACGTTTGCCGACATTTCGTACATTTTTAAATCATATCACATATATTTTTTAAAACCGAGCATGTTTTAATTGAGGCCTGATTTTACAGCTGTAGATCAATTTAAAAAAAAAAAGTGGATTTTGAGTTAAGCTTCTTATATTTTATTAAAATCCATAGTCCCTCATGTAACCTAGTGGCATTTTTTCAAAAACATTCAACAATAAGTGACAATAAAATGTTTGTTTACAAATTTATTTTATACTTGTTTGTTTGAAAACTGGAAAATAAATATACACACGTTTTAGAACCGCGAATAACAGAACCTTGAGAGTAAGATCATCGAGTTTGGAGTTTTCACAGCTAAGCGAACAAAATGTGCAATAACATGAAAATCCGGTTTGTGATAATGATAATGTATAATAGAAATGTCAGTTGTCTGGCGTAACATAATGACACAAAATAATTAAATTACAGAGTTGTGTGACCTTAAAATTAAAATAAAGGATAATTATAAGTAAAAAATTAAATTATACATGAATAAATATCAGTAATATAGATAACTGTGAAATAACAGTACGAGGCAGACAATACTAAAATACAAAAATTTGAGAAGGAAAAATAATTGATTTTGAAATGAAGTTAAAGATGAAGTTTTGCATATGGAGGATAAAGAATTTCAAAATGAGGTAGCAGTTCTATGAAAAGGAAGGAGTAAAAAAAAAAAACAGCAGGTAAGATTTTTTTTTGTTGTAAATGTTTGGGAAAGGAATACACCTATGAAGTACTCCTGTTGGAAAACTGTATAGAGCCACTTCAACTCAGCATACCACCAGGTGGTACCACCACCTTTCTTCAGTAGACATAGTAACATCTGGAGACTCCAAAGATGAATTTAATGAAATAATTCATTAATTTGATCAATCTGATCTCATGCCCACAAGAAAGTCCACCCTATAAAAGGCAGCCATGAGAGAGGAAATCAAGAGCTGATTGGTTTTAAGACACAATAGAATCAGAGAATCTCAAGAACTGTATGAGCATAGCAATCAATAAGAGTAAAACCCAGGATTTTTACATTTTTATTTAATTTTGGCAATGTAGGTTCTAGCACTGATGGATAATAGTCAAATAAATGCTAAATATAGAAATTAAAACATAATGAAGTAAAAAAATGTCCTTACCTCAGTGTCTGTCAGGTTGACAACCCCAGCTTGATTTTCAGGGTTCGACTGGCCTATATTAGAATGAGGCCTTTTATTCGCAGTAGTTGCTGAAGTGATGTTCTTGGCACATAGTATGGCAGGAGATTGAGTAGGATTAGAAGTTGCCAATAATGAGTGTCCTTCACCACTTCCTCCATTATTGGAACTTGGGTTGGTACTGCGCTCAGGAATATGAGGAGTATTACTGTAATTCACAAAATTTTGTAATTAGTAAAACATCAATAAAATTTAGGAAAAGTCTCTTACAAGCTTTATTATAAGAATGAAATTATTATATAAAATTACATATTAGCTTGTTCCATTTCTTATCTATAACAGTTCAGCATCCTGTCAGTGACTCTATACATTTTACTATATCCTAACATTCGATTGTGCACAATTTTGAGCATTTTTCAATTTACAAGGGTGATATATAAAAAACTGGAATTTAGTCATAACTTCTTTATTAATCAATATTTTGATCACCTTCAAAGTAATTCTCATTAAATGCAATGCACTTGTCAAATTGGTTATTAATTTGTTCAAAACAGTTTTTAAATTCACTTATTGCGATGTCCTCTGCCATATGAGTAGTTTTTGATATGCCTCCTTCACAATAACAAAACATCTTCCTTTCATGCGTGGTAAATTAGGGGATGAACAAACAGAGACATGCCGTTTTTGGTTCGGTGACGGTCTTCAGTATCATGGTCAATTATGATTTTTTCAAGGTTGTTGCTTCTTGAAATTTATGGCATCCCGAATTTAAGCAATCGTTTTCCTCAACATAAAACTAAATTTCACAGCTGCACATAGCTCTCAGCAGCCAGCCTTCTCACGCTTTAACCAAAATTGAAAAATTTGTTTAACTAAAAAAATTCGTTTGGGGGTAAAGGAATGCACTCACTGCGACCAAACTTAGCATATTGTCTCAGGGAGAATTCCAGAACCCTCCAAAAAAAGGAATTCAACATTCGCCCTCTTCAATGCAGCTGCATTCCTGAATCTTTTGGGTTCCCCGTCATATGTCATTGTTTCTAATGACAGACGGTATATCCAATTTTATTTGTCAAAATGCAGTTATCAATTATAAAAAAAAAATTAATATTTGTAATTAAAATTTCTAAACATGTATAACTAATAAACTCAAGAACTGAACTATTCTCAAAAGCAAACATTTTTATTTAGTGATAAAGTAAATGATTATCATAATATCTAAAGTAGAATGATACTAATATAGTTTTTACCCCTGAGAAGCAGCAACTGGGATGAGATCAGCAATTCCTGGAGATGATTCTGCCAAGGAATTAACACAGCGTGCGGTGTCCAACATAAAACATTTTGCAGTACCAAGTTTCTAAAACATAATATAATATTAAAATTTTAGGCATATAATTTTATTTCTAAAATAGTTACTAACTAAAGAATCAATATATTTTTAAAAAGTCAGGTAATTAAAAAAATATGGGGTTACTAATTGGCCCGTGTGAATAATTCACAGAAAATTATATTTAGCGAAACAATATGGAAATAAGTAGATCCTATGTATTATTATGTAAGGAAGGGATTAATATTTTTTTCTTCGGTCGATTACAATATTCCATTTAACATACATAATAGACCAAAATATTTGTAGAAATTGCTTTGCAAGGACCTATTTTTAAACACTGACTGGAAAGATAATAAAGACAAAATAAAGCCTCGATCATGGGGTTTTCTAAATTATTAAAAAAAAAATAAAATGTAAATGTAAAATAACAAATGCCTTTAAGAAATAATAAAGTTAATATATCAGCCAAGAAAAAAAGTGTAGTAGAATAATAAATACAATATCTTTAAAGAGGAAGAAATTATTAAGTATACCAAAACTAATGGACTGTATCTTTGATCCTTGTTAACAATTGTTCGATTTTTATGATTTTTTTTTTGTTTTGTAGGTAATTTAGTAATCTTTTTAATTATCATGAGTACAATCTAGAATAAAAATGCATACTTTTTGAGCTATTTGCAAATAAAGTTTCTTTTTCTTCATAACTTTTTTCCGGAGATTTCGGGAGAATATGACTATTTTTCACATGTGAAGGAGAAGAATATCTTTAAAATGAGTGGTCAATCATTGGATTTGATGAAGAATTGACGAAGTTAGGGCGTATTGACAAAAAGACACCTTTTAGAAATAATATATAGGATTGAAGAACGGGGTATTGAAGATGGAGAAAGAAGCGATTATTGATAAAATTGAGATATGCACATGCATTTTATTAATCATTTCTCACTGAATCTGAAGACAATATATTTGTTTAAAGAAATTCATATTCCTTAAACAAATATAAATAAAACTATATACATTTTGTAAAGAGATACAAACATATTTAAGTATATTTTTTACTTTTCAGAAAATTTGAATTGAATTTTTTTTTGAAAATTATTATTAAAATATGTCAAACTGAGTATACAATGCCAATAAAAGTGTTCACAATGACAAGCTTCAGACAATTATAAACTCAATAATATGAAATAATACATTTTATAAAAAAAATCTCATTAATTAAAAAAAGGGTCATGAATTTAAAGTCAATATTCAATACTTCCATAAATTTCTAATGGAAACCAGTTAAAATGGCATAATATACAATTTGTTATATATTGGAAGTTTTTATTGCCAACAACATAGAAATAGTTATAAATTATTTAACTTTACCTGCTTCAGATTACTAATTTCATCTAAATACTGGGATTGAATCCTCTCCAAGTGATTTATGTACCACTGTTGGTCTCGACACTTTTGGAAAAATGTTGGCGGTCTAACCTGAAACCTAAAATTAAGAAAATGAATATCTATACACAGTTTCTAAAATAATATTGAAAGTATTAGTTTAAATAAATATGTACAAGAATGAATATTCTGCAAAAATATAGCCAATAGGCCAATTTCAAACAGTGCAATACTGAATCTACAATTTTTTGCTTCTTTATCGAAGTTTTAAGATATCTATCTTTTGTGCATATCTTCTTTGGAGTTCTGCAAAATATCATTATACAACATGCACCTTCCACCTCGTTAACTATAATGGATGTCTGATAATATTGGCAATTACATGGTCCATATCATGTAGCCTTGGCGCATCAGATGATTGGGAGCCTTGAGAACTTTTTCAAAGGGTTTAAGTATTGAAAAAGAATCAAACAAACATTCAATAAATAATTAAATAAACAAATAACAGACTATTCTTGAAAATCTTGCTATGAGTCCACACTCCATCTCCAACATTCATATAATTTTTCACCATTGTAGCAACCAATTTAGAATGTATTGGGCCATTAATTTGTAAAAAAGTTAAATATATAATTATTAAACTTATAAATAAAGAAATGATGATAATTTATTTTATAATTACCTAAGTATAAGTGTATCATTTTCTGTATTAAGATAACCCTCACTAGCAAGCAGATCGATCCTGAAAAACCTATTGTATCCCCAGCATTCACCAACTTCAAAATCAGAAGCGAACTCTCGAACAATGTTTTTATTGGTTTGTCTTGTGCCCTGATGAATCATTTCCACTCTGTATTCATATCTAAAAATTAAATAATAGTAAAAATAATTTATATACATATAATAATATATTTTTTTTAATTAAGAGGTAGGTGGGGAGAAGTAAGGAATTAATTCTGAGAATATGGAGTCTCCTTCATATTGTAAGAAAAACAAAACAAAAAATATCTGAAAGGAAAATATTAAGGTTACCAGTCTAAAGGATTAATTACAATTTTAATTCAGGATAACAACCAATCAACAAAAAGAGAGTCCACTTACAACATCCCAGAAGATTTTCAGATGGGGATTGGTTGTTAATCTGTAATATAGTGTTTTGAATACTTAGAATCTTTAAAAAACTTATCCAAAATTAATATTTTACTAGTAGGTCCGTGCGAAAAATTCGCATAGCATATTGTTATCAAATGCCAAATTAATAAGAAAATAAAATAATGCAATGTATCAAAAGATAAAGGAATCAATTGTTACTTTATCGATAAATATAATCGACAAAGGAAACAAAATATTTACAAATTTCAATAAGCTGTATCTTTGCGAAAAATTGTCCGATTTTAATCATTTTTTTTCATTTTGTAGACAATTTAGTAATGTTTTATATAATCATGGGAATAACCAAGGGAAAAGGGTGTAATTTTTTAGTTATTCGCAAATAAAGTTTCTTTTCTTTCATAACAGTTTGCCTGAATTTTCGGGGTGATTGGACTATTTTTCCGCCTGAAGGAGAAGGAAGCCTTCGAAATTGGTTGCTCAATCTTGAGATTTGGTGAAGAATTAACGATGATATGGCTTGCAGATTAAAAACACCATCGATAAATAATATAAACACCTGTCTCGATCATAGACCTCAAGTCGACGAAATGAGACATGTATCCAATGACAATACTACAATTAATGTCAGGTTGTGTGGAGGCGAACCCCATGCCTTGCGTTATCTCGAAAATAGTACGTTTTTGGGCTTAAAAACACAGGATCCGATAGTTCTGGAGGAACTATACGGGTCTTGCTGTACACATCAAAATCTTCAACGTCCAATTTGTCCCGCATCGATCTGCAAACCTACCATCGTTCCAGTATTGAAGCCTAGCAAAACGTTTATATCGACTTTATTTATTTTAGAAAGAAAAACAAAAGTGGAGAATATGATTCGCTAACCCCCCGTGAAATTCTGAATCCAACGGTACCACATTCATGGTATTTGAGCCTGACAGGAGCTTATATTTGGTACAAAACCGATTTCGAGCCTTACTGTATTAATATATGTGGGGATAGAAAGAATCATCTGAAGATCTCCATAGAAAATAAAACCTAAAGCTGGAAGTAATAAGAGTAATAAGTTACGCCATACCACACACTCATGAGAGGCAATTATTATATCATCTAAATAAGCAGCATTGGATTTAATCTAATCATCTAGCCTGAGAGGATTAAGGTTGGCAGTGTATATAACAGATTGAATGTAAAATGAAAGAAAAAGGATCTTACTTGGAAGAATCAGGGAGACCAGCAGTCAATTCCAAAAACACTGAGAGGTAACTGCCCCTGACGACACCGTTTCCATCTGGGTATACTTTTAACCTCCAGCAGAGTCCATTCACATGAAGTGATTGAGAGTAAACTGGGTCGGCCTTGTGCTGCAACTGGGAGAATTCTTGCATTACAAACGTACTTGACTCGTAGGCAGGAACTATTTCACTAGAAAGAAAGATTTAGATATATTTATTAACATAGTTCATAAAATAAGTTTAGGTTATTTAAACCTATAACAAAAAAACATATATAAATATGATATCATTAGCCTAGAGAGAAATTCAGAAATAAAAAAAAAAAAGTATAAGAAAAATATAAGAATTTCACTTATATGGAAAATCAAAAATTATTTTTAAAGTGTTTCTTAAGTTGAAACCATGAAGATAAAAAAAGAAAATATATAGGTCATTATGTGGGTTCTGATGAGTTAGCAGATAGATAGAGGAGGATAGAGATGCACAGTGACATAACGTTTTTCCCCCGATCTCCCACTCTTTACAGATCCGGCTCCTAGATAGTAGCATCGAGTTCTGTGAACAGTACACCTCGTGAATTCACATTTTTACTTTCACTTACCTATATATGTAATGAATAATAAGGGAAAGTATTGAGATCGTGAAAATTTTTGAATCTGAGTTTTCAACGGAAATAAACATTTTGAAGTTTCCTGAGTCCAAATAACCAAGTCCCGCAAAATGGCCAGTGTGTATGTTAACAGTCTAGCTCAGAAACAAAAAGTCGTACGAAACTGATATAACGTATTTAAGATAGGTATATGACTCAGATGTTACAGCAACTTTTAAGCAACCTTAAAATCGGCTAACCGGAAATGCCACTTTACATCAACGGTGAAACATATTTTTACAATTTTCTCAAACACGGCTCCAACGGTTTTGATTAAACCCGGTGTAATATTGTATAATTAAGTGGTTTTTAATATCATTAAGGTCTTAGCCACATTGATCTCACTTTACAGGGCTTAAATTCCTAATGTTCATATATGTCTTCCTTTAAAGTACCATTAATATGATTTATTAAAAAAAAATTAACTCTCTTTCATTGACAATAACTATAAAAAATGGCTAAATATGAAGTTTGAAAAAATATGATAATTGGAAACTAGAGAAAAAAAGAAAAATGCTTATCCAGGTTGAAAATGAATCTCCAGAAATAATAGTAGGTATACATAAAATATATCGTTGGAAAGTGAAGAATAGAAGTATTTCATGGATATGTTTATAACCTTAAATACATTTACTGTAGTTTAATAGCTACAGATCAGATATTATATTTAAATAATTAGGTATCTATCAATTTTTAAAAGCCATAGAAACTTAAAAACTTGACGTCTAAGAATTATAGATTTGCTCAAGTATTGCCTTGGCTTTAGAAATACAATATTTGAGGCGATAACATCATATATCCTTTAGGGTCATTTCATTTAAAATCACCAGAGGTCGTGACCTTCATTTCTCCAGTTTATATTATAATTGATATTGATCACGAGAAAATAAAATCTGGATATTAAGTAGTTGCTGTATTGTTGAGCATATAAAACAAAAGAGTGACCTACTTTTCATTTTAATTTTTTTGTACTTATTCAGTGTAATAAAGAGTCAGGATGCATCATTAAGGAAAACTATTTAAAAACAAAAATGATAGGAACAAACCTGAAGAAATCTGAAGGAACTGTGGGGATAACGAAAGAGGACATCGGTTTCTTCCTGATTTGGTGAATCATGCGGGATAGCTCAGTTGAACTACTAATCAGTTCCGAACGTGTCTTACTTTGCAGAGCAGCATCAACTTCTTGCAGGACAGATTCTACATTCTCTATCTCGGAGCTTAGCAGAGTTTTATGGCTGATCAAGCTCACCAGTTTAGCCTTCAGTTGCGTGTCCAAGCGAGCTACCATCAACTCTACAGCGTTTCTAATCTCTCGGACTCGCTCATCTTTTGCGTTCCGCACGGACTCAACATTTCGATCCTGTAGAGTAATTTTCATCAAACATTCTGTATTAGTAACATGATGATAATAATGTTTCTCTAATTTTTAGTATTAAATCTTTTTAATAAGAATAATATACTTCTATAGATTTTTAGTAATTCACTCAATATTGATCTTTTTTCCCAGATTGCTCAAACAATTTATTATGTTTAGATTAGATACTTATGTTTTTGTGATAAACAATCCAAAATATATGATTATGGCTAATAAAGCTATTGCAAATATAAGATTTCAATTCAATATGAACCTTCTTCCCTTCCTTTTAAAGATAAAAAAAAAATCAATATTTTTAATTGTTATTTTTATTTGTTAACAACCCTACACTTTTTAAATGTAAAAAATATCAAGGCCTAATATATATCAAATTAGCAGTGTTTGAAAACTAACGATATGATATTTTGAGATATTTATATCCATAGTTCCACAGCAATTCATGTCAGAAAATTGTTGTTAAAAGTCCTGAGTTACTTTAAAAGATATAAGAAGTACTTTGTAACACTGAAATAAAATATTTTTTATAGCAATGTTTTAATGGGAACTGAATTTGAAAGAGTGACCCTAGCCTAGTAAATAGTTAGAATTTAAAAAAAGTAAGAATTCAACAGATAACTATTCTTAAGTTTTACAGTCAAATTTTTAATATTCTCCCTATATGTAAGAAGTGGAGAGGTAGTGGGTAAACTAATAACAATAAGTACTAGGTTAAGGGAAAATAATACAATTGGTTAGTTAATTGATTGTTTTTCTTATTTTCAACCTGGATGAAAAAAAAATTGAGTAATTTTAATGTTCATGGTTAATTTATAATTGTTAGTTTGATTATAAATTTATACAAATTTGTCAAAGGCTAAATTGCGGCCAATAAGTCCATCTCAATCAAATGAGGGTAGTTATTAAATTATCATGAGCAATTTTCATGTAAAAACAGGTGCATGTTTGAGCATGGCTTTGGGTCAGTCATAGTTAGCTTTGTAAACTGGAAGAGAGTATTGTTTTAGAAGGATAAGATAATGCATGACACAGAATTTGAAAGCGAGATATTATTTTTCTAACAATTAGATTAAATTAAAAGATAATAAGAACTTACAACATCTTGCATCAACGACAGAAGTTCCATTAAGCGTCGCCGAAGCCCAGAAAGTTCTTCCTTAATCTGGGTCATATGCTGCAGGTAAACTTCTTCAAGGGGTTTGAATGTATGGTTTGAGTGGGTACCACCCCAGAGAGCACACTGGTGACAGATGCATCGTAAACATGTCCAACAATAGACAGATAGTTTCTCTTCATGCAGTGAACATCTAGATAGGACCAAAATAAAATTGATAATTTAAATATAGTGTTTCTTTTAAAATAAATAGAGGCTCTAAAAAATACACTCACACTAAAGTGTATCTGGAATTACAAAGAAGGGTATTAAAAAATCCTTAATGAGCCTTAGGAATGCACGTGAATCAGCCCACTATGTGATTATGTAATAATAAAAAAATTGACTTTGAAAAGAACTTAAAATAATAATACCAGATAAGAAAATAGGAAAATAAGGTAGATCAGATCCAAATATGAAAATGCCTGATACACTGATTGTTTACTGAAAGGAATTGAATCCTGGGAAATAAAGAAGGAAATGTGATGGTTCTCAAAACCTGAAATGAAACAATCCAAACTTTTCATTGATTTGTCAAAGGAACTGGCTAAATTCTTATTAAAACTAATAAAGAATGATGATTCACTAAAATATCAATGCAAGACAATGCGAGTAGTGGAACATTCTACCTGCAACCTATGCTTAGAGAATGAAGAGTATTATGAAAACAACCCATGTGAATCTGAAGCTTTTTCCTTTACCTGACAGCATTATTCACAACATCCAATAATTAAACCAATTTAAAATAAAATAAGAAACCAACTACTACTGCCTTAAGCTTCTTTACTTGTGACAGTAAAGACTGTCAATTTAGTAAGATGTGTAATTCTGTGCATAACAAAAATGTATTCATTTAATCTTAATAAAGCAGTTAAAAAATCACTCGGATAAGCAAAAGCACATTCAACTCCACCTTCCATACAAGATAAAAATTACAGTTAGGTTATTTATTCTAGATTCCGATGATAGCCTTCAGTCTTTCAAATAGCAATAAATAATTTTCAAGATTAGATGTGTCTATTCAACACACAAAATTTAAAGAAATAATTGACTAAATAAGGGATTAGCTTGTCCCATTGGAAAATATCCCTCCACTTTGACAGATAAGTAATAAGACACAGCTATTCCTGAACTCAAAATAATCCATTATTAACATAAAAAAGTTGCACAAAAAATCATTGAGGTATTCTTCTCCAGTTACCTTTTCAATTGATTTTTAGTTCGACGAAGACTGTCATAAATGGCAATATTTTAATTTTTGAAATTTAAACATGTTATGAGAATCCCATGGCAACCATATTAGCAGAGGGATTCTACAAGAATTACAATTTCTGTAGAAATGGGACATTTTTGAAAACAAATGAGTTTTGAAACCTCCCAATATTTTTAATGACTTATTAAAGTTGTTGGAGGAATTTAAGGATCCAATTGGCATTTTTCAATTCTCCATGAAAATCTTTTTGTTTTAATACCTCATTCATCAAAATCCATTGTTCTAGATAGCCATAAAAAGGATCTAAACTATCATGTTGTATATAGTGTAGATCCTTAGTTTGAAAATAAAATAAATTTAAATCTCTGCCCATTCTCTGCAATATGATGAACTATTCCCCTCCATTTAAATTATCTGAACGTCATCACATTAAAAAACAACTTTGAGAAAGTGTTCATTAAAATAAATAAATGAAAATCTTGGAAAAATTACTACACCTGTCTCTGTCTGAAGAACAGTCATCCCTACTGGAACCAGTAGCTGCTGCCTGGAGGGTGTCAAGTTGCTGAGTTACCTCCTCAACCCAACGACAGTTGACCAGCTCATGGAGATGTAAGGAGGCTCTACAGTGCGGGCACTGTGATCTCTGTTCTGTCAACCATCTTCTGATACACAAGTAGCAGCAAAGCTTGGAACAGTGGGGGCAAAGATGAGCATCCCGCAACTTCTCCATACAGATGAAGCAGCGGAACACCTCTGCCAGAGACTAACATAATTCATGAGATTAGATAACTGTACTATAATGACGTGAGAGTAGTAACAATTAAGAATATAGTTATAATAAATATTCAAAAAAAGGTATATGAAACAGTGGTCCTAAAAAATAAAAATAATTTGCTATTTTATAGGATAAATATGTGCAAGACCATGATTCACCCTGTAGTAACTTACAGCAGTGAATCATGGACAATGACGGCTGAACATGAAAGAATGCTTAGAGTCTGAAACAGGAAGATCCTGCACAAGACATATGGACCATTATGTGAGAGAGGAATATGGAGAATGAGGTGCAACCGGGAGCTTATTGCAGTATATGGAGAGGATGCAGAGGAAAGTGCTGTATGGACAACCGGGAGGAGAAAGGAGAGGCAGGCCACCACTCTGGTAGATAGATGACATAAGAGGCAGATTTGAGAGGACTTTGTGTTAGGCGGTGGAGAGCTGCCTCAGTAGATAGAGAAGAGTGGCAAAGAATTGTGAAGGAGGCCTAGGACTCCCGCCGACCTTAGGGCCGAGGAAGAAAAAGAATAGGATAAACAACCCAGAAATGAATATTAAAGTTTTAGTAACAGCCTGTAGTTTTAAAAATTTAATTTCTTATGTTTACATTGCTGGTTTATTGCAAAAAGTTAATTAGTAACATTTCATAAAATTAAATCACTATTTGCTTTGATAAATTCTCCCTCATTGAAATTATATCACATTTTCTCAACTGTTTTAAAACCTGGAAGTATGTGATGAGCAAAAAGATTTTATGGTATGCAGAATGATACTTCTATCTGAGCCTATATTTCGTAAGAATCTAAAATATATATCACAAAAAATAAGGATAAATTAGGTGGGCGGGGTAGCCGAATGGGCTAAAGCGTGTGCACTGCACCGCCGTTGCCTGGCAACCTGACATATGAATTAAATATATAAAAATAGTCACGAGTTCGCGTCCCGGTGCCGGGGGAGTCTTTTAAATCCCCGCCCACACTCCCTGGCCCGGGAAAATCCCGTATAGCCTTAACGGCGAGGAAGGGAAGGACCAAAAAAAAAAAAAAAAAAAAAATATCACAAAAAATAAGGAAGTCAGAATATATTCTTGCAAGATTCATTAAGAATACCAGCCAACAATAAGTAGTTCGAAATTAACATGGGAGGTTCTATAATGAGTTTCGTTAATCCAACTACCATCATCATGCCTATCCTCTCGGCCATTTTTAGTGTGGGACTAAGACATCAACACCTTCACCCTTGATTTCCCTAAGAAGGAAACAAGTGATGGTTGATAAGAAGGCTTTCTTATGAAACTCAAAACCTTTCCCTATCCAAGTAAATACACAAACCAATCTTTGGAAATAAATTCTGATAGAAAGTATCAAGAACAATGCAAAACAATTTAAATTTTTTTCTTTGTTTAAATCATTGTTATCATTAGTTAGTGAATGGTTACTATTTTTTTCTAATTTCTCAATAAAACACATAATCGAAATGTCAAATAATAGTTTTTCAGTGGATATTTATTGGTTTTTTTGGATAATTATTTTGTTAAATTCATGTATAATGATTTTTCATACGAACATTCAATGGAATAACACCTTTCTAATTCAAGTTGTCTTCTTCTGGAACTCTATACTCTCACATATTCGACACGCAAAATCAATATCCTCTTTCAAATCTCTCCTCTTTAAACACCTACTCCATTCCCAATCCGATTGATCACGAAATGCACTTAAAAACCTAAGCTGTAAGAATCTCAAATTACACCCAGATACTTTGATTATTTTGTGATTCATTGATATTTTGTTTACTTAATTTACTTTCTCTGTTTATTTTATACTTATACACGTTTTCATATTTTTTTATTATATATAATTTTATTGTATTCCTAATAATCCTGTAAATATTTAATTGTATTTTATGGAAACACCAGAACACTAATATATATTCTGTATTTGTAACTTGTTCTAAAAGGACACTAGTCCTAGAATAATAAAATTATTTTTATTCACTCATTCATTGATTTAGAAAATTATGAACAGAAATATAAAAAGTCAATAAAGAAATTTAAAGTAAAATTCTATTTCAGTGATACAATAATTGTCACAAGCAAGTCCTACTGTATACAAATCACTGAATTTCAAAGAATTAATAAAGATACAACATAAATTTAACTTCTTGTAAATCTTAGAACATACAATCTAATCTTGGTTTGTGATTAAAGGTAACTATGTTGATGCCCAAATAACCAAGTCAAAAGATTGCATATAAAAAATCAATATTAATAAGAGAATGATTAACTGTTGTAAAGCTAAATTATACATCATATAAACTAAGGTTTTCCTGAACAAACAAGCAATTTCAATCATTTTTGTAACCAAAGTCAAAAAATTTTCTGCCAAATTTCAATAATTAATTCATAATAAAAATGGAATAGGATATAAATAGATTGGATGTTTTGTAAATGTTTCTCATAATTTTTGTTAAGTTCATATTACCTATTGTTATTATTTACTATTATATACCTATTAGTTATTTACTACACTACACGCAGCATAGACATTTATCATACAAATACACTAATGTAGCCAAATTGACAGTTAAAATTGAAGAGAGACTAAAAAAATGTATCAGGGATATAATTACTTCATTGAAATTTAGTGTAACTGAGAAATCCATCACTCAGGAAGATATTATGGAAACAAAAACTTATGTGAAGTATCTAACATTATGTTTTGGATAAAAAATTAAAGGTTCATTCTGAATAACAAAATTAGTTTAATGTATCAATTTTTTTTTTAAGCAAAGCATAAACATCTGCTGGTTTAGGTTAAGGGCTTTATCAAATTTTCAAATGATGGCACAATTAAAATAATTAAGAAGAAATAATGAAAACTTCAAAATACAAAAGGTTGTTTTGGTAACTAACAATACACCATTATCATTGTAAATGTATATACAAATTTCTCCTGATTTCATAAGAACTTAATTTACCTCGACACTATGATCATCATCATTTTTAACACGATCCCTTCCAGCCATTTTCATATGCAAGTAAAAACAAGTCACAAAACTACATTGACAGTTGATATGTCTTTGAACATAGATTGAACTTGGAAGGTTAATAAGCGGTCTCCCACATTATATTTTTCGTATTAAATGAAATTTTATTCATGATCAAAATTTGAAAGGCTATTCGTCACTTTAATGTCATAATTACAATGTATAACACTAAACATGCATTGGAAATTCCCAAACGTTCAGAGAAAGACTAGCTGATAGTGACAGATGGTGAAGCAATGTTACCAACAGAAACAAAATTAAATTTCCTGTACTTTCATTGTTTTATTTAATATAAAATGAATAAACAGGTCATATATATCAGATGAATAATGAGGATCAAATTTATTTTTTTCGATATTTTGATCACGTTATTTGTTCTTAAGTAAGATAGGCTTAATACTTTGAAGTATTGAATTAAAGTATTATGTATTAAGTATTAAAGTATTATGTATTAAGTATTAAAGTATTGAAATTCCTTATCAGAACGATCCTGGAAATTTTGAGTTTCTAATAAGCATATATGGCTTGTTATCACACTTATATTGATCTTTTCTATTATTCATTCTTTTCTATCAGAATTTAAACGGTAGTCCTACCTGGTTTTGTCCTTTAATTATCCCCATTTTATGACCCATACTTTGAAATAAATTTCTTTCCAAGTAATTCTGCAATAATAGTTTTCTTTTGTACTTATGTAAATAAACATTATTAAGGAGAATCCATTGTCTGAGTTTTTTTCTTAATTTGATATAGAATATCAGAATTGTCAGTGAAATTAAAATGCCCCTACATATTGAAATTCTTTTTAAAGTTAACATCATTGTTGCATTAAATTCTTTATTTGATTTAGTACGACATGCAAACAAATTTAATCTTCTTTGAAAATACCATATGTACATATGTTATAAGTCTAATATAATAACAGTCGGTAAACGACTTATAAACGCTAATAGTGGCTAAAATAAAAATATTGTAAAGCTAAAATCTACAATACATTCAGTTGATACAATGTTTTATGTCCATATGACATTTTCAACAATTACTAGACGATTTGATTTAAGTTTAACCCATAGAGGTATTTGGAAAATATTGCTGAACTTTGAGTTTTTTTTTTGTTTAGCCTGATTTATGAGGATAATTAGCATTTGAAAAACAATAAAAATTGCTCTATTTTCGGGAACAGTTTTAAAGAAAATGTCTGTTCATCACTATCCCTTTTCTCACTTGCCAACAATTTTCCATTAATTTTTTAAAAATCAAATATCAAACCTCGCATTTTATTGGAAAAAAATTTACTTATTTAATGAACCGTGATGAAAAATGTGTTTCTTGTAAATCAAAAGGCATGAATGTGAATTGTAAATCTAATTCTGTGGTGGAACAATAATGAACATTTAGTGAACTTTTTACTTAATTTGAGGTGGGAAATTTTAATAGTAAAAGATATTAAAATGCTTCTAAATACTATAATTATTTTACAATTAACATAATATGAATTTGGCATAATATATATTATATCAAATTCATTTGTTTAAATACCTATGGGATATAATTTTATAGTCTCCAAAAATATCATATGCCATAATTACAATATAAAAGTAGTCTGTAATTAATTATTTAACAACAAAATTATCTATAACTTTATTTATCTTATAAACATTACTAAGTAACTGATGTATATGATTATATAAATAGGCAAAGGCAAAACAGTTCAGCCTCTTTTTCTCTTCTGTTGCTCAACCGATTTTTTTTTTTTTTTTTGTTTAGTAGCTGTTGACGAGCTTTAGTGTTATCAATAAAAAATTGTTAGAACCAGTGTATATAAATAAAAATAAAAATGTAAATGTTACTTTGTTCAAAACAGCTAATGTCCGAAAGGTGTTCGGAGATGACTTTAAAATTTTGATATAATGTTGAAATCAAATTCAGAAGTTTTAT